ACGGTGGCGCAGCAGGCGGCTGGGTGGGCGTAGCCCCCCAGGCGGTCGTCAAGATTCCTCGCGCGCCTGTGCTAGTAGCGGCTGTCAACGTCCATGATCCTGACACTGCTTCTCCTAGGGTTGCAGCTTGATAGCCGTCCTCACATTGGTAGGGTACTGGCAGTCAATTGTGTGTTACTGCGTGTTTGTCCGTACATCGACTGGGCGATGTTATCTGCGTCCACAATGGACGTTCCAGAAGGGCAAGAAGAAGCAAAGATCAATGATTGTCCCAAGGTGCTTGAATGAGTTTCGCGTTCTCGCCTTTTCGGGTACGGCCCCGTAGGCCTCCAAGATGCCCCCCTGACCCTATAGATTGGCCAATAAGGCCCTACGACGGGCCAAGAGGCACGCAAGATGGCTCAAGAGGGCCATGAGACGCCCCTAAAGCGACCTAAGGGAGGCCCACAAGACGGCCTCCAAAGGCGTCGAACGGGCAAAGAGCACCCTACGATGGCCCACGAGGCCCCAAAGAAGCCATGACGGCCTTCGAGACGGCCAAGATTGCCCCAAGAGAGTCCAAGATGGCTCCGGATGCCTCCACGACGGCCCAGGACACCTCGGAGGCCCAAGTGTTCCTCACGCTTTGAAATAATTGTCGCGTTCTCGCCTTCTCGGGTTTCTGACAGCCCAAGACGGCCCAAGATGTTCTCAAGATTTTCACAAGACGGCCGAAGAGGCCTTCAAGAGGACCCCAAGACGGCCCCACGACGGCCCCAAGACAACCCCAAGACGGCCCAGAGAGCCCCAAGACAGCCCTAAAGGGCCCAATGCGGCCCAGAGAGGCCCCCACGCCAGCCTCCGAAGGCGCCAGACGGCACAAGCCTTGAGACGGCCCAAGCGAGAGCCCCAAGACGGCCCAAGATGGCTCAGGAGGGCCCAAGAGGTCGCCAGGAGGTCCCCGAGAAGGTCCAAAGGCCCTACCCGACAGAGCAAAAGACAACCCTAAGACAGCCCCAGAGGGCCCCCCGAATGGTTCCCCGGTGGTGTCGTCAACGGCCGGGGGGAGGCATGCAGCCCACTATCATGGCCGCATGTTCGCTCAACGTTGCACCACACAGGCATGTCAAAAAAGGCGGAGGGCGGCGGCGACTCGCCACAGGCGTCTTCGATCCACACCATTCTGTGTATCGCTCCATCCCGCTTCTGCCGTCCCTTGCTTGATGAGCCCCTGGCTTCGTACAAACGTAAACCACCGCCGTTTCCTTGGTTCCTCATGGAACCAAAAGGAATGGCCCAACGCGCAGATGCAGCGAAACGCTCCCATCGCCTGCTGCTGGGTGGTCCCATGCGTCTCTAAATATTACAGGGGCGGTTCCTCACCCTCGTCACTCTTGATTATCAAGTATCATCGTGTTATCCTTGTCTCACCTCTAGCACCCCGTACCACATCCATGTTGTACCCCTACTCCAAAGAAAAGTTAGCCTGGCGAAGGACCCAACCATGTGCAGTTGTGGGCACCGCCGTTGTATACACCGCATTCGGTGGAGTTCCCTGGGGGGCCGCGAAACGCGTGAAGGGGGCTCCAAAATGGACGCAGGGGGCGCATGCGAGCGCTGGCATGTGGGCCTTGGGTGGAGCTCCCTATGGGGCCACGAAGCGTGTGAGCGGTGTGCCAAAATGGGTGCGGTGGGCGCATGCGAGCGCTGGCATGTGGGCATTCGGTGAAGCTCCCCGTGGGGCCACGAAACATGTGAGGGGTGTGCAAAAATGGGTGCGGTGGGCGCATGCGAGCGCTGGCATTTGGGCCTTCGGTGGGGCTCCCTGGGAGGCCACGAAACTTGAAGGGGGGTGCCAAAATGGGTGCGGTGGGCGCATGCGAGCGCTGGTATGTGGGCCTTCGGTGGGGCTCCCTGTGGGGCCACGAAGCGTGTGAGCGGTGTGCCAAAATGGGTGCGGTGGGCGCATGCGAACGCTGGCACGTGGGCCTTCGGTAGAGCTTCCTATGGGGCCACGAAGCGTGTGAGGAGTGTGCCAAAATGGGGCGCGGTGGTCGCATGCAGGCACTATGGGGCCACGAAACGTGTGAGGGGTGTGCCCAAATGGGCGCGGTGGGCGCCTGCGAGCGCTGGCACATGGGCCGTCGGTGGAGTTCCCCGTGGGCATACGAAACGTGTGAGGGGTTGGCCAACATGGGTGTGGTGGGCGCATGCGAGCGCTGGCATTTCGGCCGAGATAGTTGACTGGTGCGGATGGCTGGATAGTCGGCCGAGATAGTTGCATGGATTGGAGAAGGGAGGAGAAAAGAGGAGGAAGAAAAGAGGAGACGCAGGCCGCTGTCCCTTCCAAACGAGGACCCAACACCACAGGATGGTTGGGAAATACTCTATATGAATGCTACTCTTCTCTCTCACCCCACGGTGGCAGACGAGTACCCCCCCCTCATCCCCGTGCAGATTTTCATGCACAAGATGTCAAAGTTTGTCTGTCCTAGGGTCTTGCTTGCAATATGGTCGCTTGCGGTCCTTCAACATGGTGCTGCTGCTGCAGCGCGGGCCTCGTTTCTGGATCGGCGCGTTGCTTCCGTCGTTCAGGACAGCACTCTCGCCCCAGCGCTGGCCACTTGTCTTTCATCCGAGTCCCTCCCGCTCCTGCTACTCCAATTGCTGCTGCTGCTGTTCGTCCACGTCCTCGTCCTCACTTGTCCTTTTCCTTTCCCTCCTGCTCATCCTGAAAATCCGCCATCTCCTCCTCCTCCAATGTACGAAGCTTCCAATTTCCGATTGCGCATAACACGATGGGGTATATCTTGAAATCCCAGCTTCGCTATGACACGTGTCCACGGTGGGAGGGGTAGGATGTTAGACGTGGCGCGAGCACACCTACCTTGCCAATAGACCCCCGATGTCGGAACGTTTCGTACAATGTTACCCCTTGCCAATAGACCCCACATGTCGGAACGTTTCGGGGCACGTTCCGACAAGAACTTCAGAGAGGATCTGGCCGTGGCGAAGAGGAGCCCCCCAGAGAATACAAAATTAGCCTGGCGAAGGACCCAACCATATGCAGTTGTGGGCATCGTCACTGTTTGCACCGCACTCAGTGGGCCCCCTCTGAAGCTACGAAACGGTTGAGGGGTGCCCCAGAAACCGGTGCAGTGGGCGCATGCGAGCGCTTGAATTTGGGCTTTCGGTGGAGCTCCCCTATGGGGCCACGAAGCGTGTGAGGGATGTGCCCAAATGGGCGCGGTGGGCGCATGCGAGCGCTGGCATGTGGGCCTGCGGTGGGGCTCCTTATGGGGCCACGAAACGTGTGAGGGGTGTGCCCAAATGGGCGCGGTGGGCGCCTGCGAGCGCTGGCATTTGGGCCTTCGGTGGTGCTCCCCATGAGGCCGCGAAGCGTGTGAGGGGTGTGCCAAAATAGATGCGGTGGGCGCATGCGAGCGCTGGCGCTTGGGGCCACGAAACGTATGAGGGGTGTGCCAAAGTGGGCGCGGTGGGCGCATGCGGGCGCTGGAATTAGGGCCTTCGGTGGCATTCCCTGTGGGGCCCCCCACGTGCGAAGGGTGTTCTAAAATGGGCGCGGTGGGCGCATGCGAGCGCTGGCATTTGGGCCTGCGGTTGGGCCCCCTTTGTGGGGCCGCGAAACGCGTGATAGGGGGGCCGCTCCAAAATCCGCGCAAGGGGCGCATGCGAGCGCTGGCATGTGGGCCTTGGGTGGAGCGCCCTATGGGGCCACGAAGCGTGCAAGGGGTCTGCCCAAATGGGTGCAGTGGGCGCATGCGATCGCTTGAATTTGGACCTTCGGCGGAGCTCCCCTATGGGGCCACGAAGCGTGTGAGCAGTGTGCCAAAATGGGTGCGGTGGGCGCATGCGAGCGCTGGCATTTGAGCCTTCGGTGGGGCTCCCTATGGAGCCACGAAGTGTGTGAGCGGTGTGCCAAAATGGGGGCGGTCGGCGCATGCGTGCGCTGGCATTTGGCCATTCAGTGGGGCTTCCTATGGGGCGAGCGCTGGCATTTGGGCCTTCGGTGGTGCTCCCACATGGAGCCACGAAACGTGTGAGGGGTGTGCCAAACTGGGTGTTGTGGCCCATGCGAACGCTGGCAGCGGGGCCTTCGGTGGTACTTCCTATGGGGCCACGAAACATGTGAGGGGTGTGCCAAAGTGGGCGCGTGGGTGTTGCCAAAATGACCGCAGTGGGCAAACGCGAGCGCTGGCATGTGGGCATAAGGTGGAGCTCACCATGGGCCCACGAAACGTGAAGGGTGTGGCACACTGGGTGCTGTGCGCACATGCGAGCGTTTGCATTTCGGCCTTCGGTGGAGCCTACTATTGGTCCACGAAACGTGTGAGGGGTGCGGCGAGCGCTGGCATTTGGGCGCATGCGAGCGCTTGCATTTGGGCCTGCAGTGGAGCCCCCTTATGGGGCCACGAAACGTGTGACGGGTGTTCCAGAGTGGGCGCGGTGGGCGCATGCGAGCGCTTGCATGTGAGCCTTCGGTGGAGCTCCCCATGGGGCGGCGAAACGTGTGCGTGACATGCCGAAGTGGGCGCGGTGGGCGCATGCGAGCGCTTCATTTGAGCCTGCGGTGGAGCTCCCCATGGGGCCACGAAACGTGTGAGGGGCGTGCCATCGTGGGTGCTGTGGGCGCATGCAAGCGCGGGCATCTGGGCCTTTGGTGGAGCTCCCTATGGAGCCACGAAACGTGCGAGGGGCGTGCCAAACTGGGCGCGGTGGGCGCATGCGAGCGCTGGCGTTAGGGCCTTCGGTGGAGCTCCCTATGGGGCCACGAAACGTGTGAGGGGTGTGCCAGAATGAATGCGGTGGGCGCATGCGAGCACTGGCACGTGGGCCTTCGGTGGAGCTCCCTATGGGGCCACGAACCGCTGTACTGAGTAGGGGAAACGCATGCGAAGACCGCCACTGGGGCCTTCGGCGGATCTCCCAATGGGGGCACGAGACGTGTGAGGGGTGTGCCAAACTTGTTGACTGGCGCGAATGGTAAAGGCATGGATACGAAGGGGGAGGAGGAGGGAGGAGGAAGGAAGGAGGAGACGCGGGGCGCTGTCTCTTCAAAGCGAGGACCCAACACCACAGGATGGTTGGGCAAAAAATACCCTGGCAAAGGACCCAACCATATGCATTTGTGGGTACCGCAATTGTGAATAGTTTCTTCGGTGAAGCTCCTTATGGGGCCACGAAGCGCTGCACTGGGTGGGGGGGGAACGCATGCGGGCGGTAGAGCTGGGGCCGTCGGGCGAGCTCCCTATGGGGCCACGACACGCCGTACTGGATGGGGCGAAAATGCAAAATCTGGCGTGTGGGAGGCATGCGGGCGGTCCCACTGGTGGCTTCGGTGGAGCTCCCTATGGGGCCACGAAACGTATGAGGGGTGTGCCAAATTTGGTTTCCAGGACGCATGCGGACGGTCCCACCGGGTGCCTCGGTGGAGCTCCCTATGGGGCCACGAAACGTTGTACTGGGTGGGCGAAAATGCCAAATTGTGTTTCCGAGACGCATGCGGACGGTCCAACTGGGGGTTTCGGTGGAACTCTCTACGGGGCCACGACACGCCGTACTGGGTGGTATGAAAAACTATGTGTTTCAGGGACGCATGCGGACAGTCCCACTGGGGGCTTCGGTGAGGCTCTCTATGGGGCCACGAAACGCCGTACTGGGTGGGGGGGGCGCATGCGGACGGTAGCACTGGGACCTTCGGAGGGGTTCCCTATGGGGCCACGAAACGCTGTACTGGGTGGGGCGGACGCATGCGCACGGTAGCACTGGGACCTTCGGTGGGGCTCCGTATGGGGCCACGAAACGCTGTACTGGGTGGGGGGACGCATGCGGACGGTAGCACTGGGACCTTCGGTGGGGCTCCCTATGGGGCAACGAAACGCTGTACTGGGTGGGGGTGACGCATGCGGACGGTAGCACTGGGACCTTCGGTGGGGTTGCCTATGGGGCCACGAAACGCTGTACTGGGCGGTGGGGACGCATGCGGACGGTAACACTGGGACCTTCGGTGGGGCTCCCTATGGGGCCACGAAACGCTGTGCTGTTTTCGGGGACTCCTTATGGGGCCACGAAACGCTGTACTGGGTGGGGGGGACGCATGCGGACGGTAGCACTGGGACCTTCGGTGGGGCTCCTTATGGGGCCACGAACGCTGTACTGGGTGGGGGACGCATGCGGACGGTAGCACTGGGACCTTCGGTAGGGTCTCCCTATGGGGCCACGAAACGCTGTACTGGGTGGGGGGACGCATGCGGACGGTAGCACGGGGACCTTCGGTGGGGCTCCCTATGGGGCCACGAAACGCTGTACTGGGTGGGGGGGACGCATGCGGACGGTAGCACTGGGACCTTCGGTGGGGCTCCCTATAGGGCCAGGAAACGCTGTACTGGGTGGGGGCGACGCATTTGGACGGTAGCACTGGGACCTTCGGTGGGGCTCCCTATGGGGCCACGAAACGTGTAAGGGGTATGCTGAAACGGGTGATGATGATGATGATGCTGCTGATGATGATGATGATGATGATGATGATGATGATGATGCTGATGATGATGATGATGATGATGATGGATGATGATGATGATGATGATGATGATGATGATGATGATGATGATGATGATGATGATGATGATGATGATGATGATGATGATGATGATGATGATGATGATGATGATGATGATGATGATGATGAATGATGATGATGATGATGATGATGATGATGATGATGATGATGATGATGATGATGATGATGATGATGATGATGATGATGATGATGCTGATGCTGATGCTGATGATGATATGATGATGATGATGATGTGATGATGATGACGATGATGATGATGATGATGATGATGATGATGATGATGATGATGATGATGATGATGATGATGATGATGATGATGATGATGATGATGATGATGATGATGATGATGATGATGATGATGGGAGGGGGGAGGAGGGGGAGGAGGAGAGGAGAGGAGGAGGAACGCGGGGCGACGTCTCTTCACAACGAGGACCCAACACCACAGGATGCTTGGGAACTAAAGACCAAAACGCTCGAACGCGGCACGGCTTTCCCGCGACTTCCCCCACTTTCCCCACTTTTCCCCGTCACCCACGCCCGCCAACTCCGAGCAGAGACATTCGAGTGGTCGAGGAGGGGAGGAGCTGCGCGGTCTTGCAAAGGGAGGGCGAGGCGCAGGAGGAGGAAGAGGAACGATGATGAGGAGGAGGACGACCACGACGAGGACAAGAACGAGAAGGACAGAGACGAGGCAGACGAACAGAGCGATGGGGGGATAAGGAGGACAAGGACGAGGAGGAAGCGAAGGAGGCCGTGGAGATACGCATCGGAGACTGAGCGTCGCTTAAAGGGCCTCCAAGGCCTCTAGCACCTCCAGAAACTGGTGGACCGTCATCGGCTTCAGCGGTCTGGCGGGCTGGCGGCAGCGGAGGTAGGGAGGGACAGGAGGACGGGGGGATGAACGTGTTATCCTCTTTACTCTTCCTTGTCTTTCTTCCCCTCATCCTCCAGTCCTCCCTCATCTGGAAAAATAGGAAAGAACGCAGAAGAGGAAGGGGGGGGTAGAGGCAAGGAGAAAGAATCCCGGAAGCAAGAAGGAAATACGAATGAGGGAGGAGAAAATGTTCGGTTGTAGCGATGTCGCTCTGAAAGCTTGCGCAAATGGCGCCTAGAAGAGGCCAGAGGGTCAATCCGCGTAATTACGCGTGCTTACGCGTGAAAGCGACGAGGGGTAAATAGAATCCTTGGGCGCTCAAAGTAAACTGCACGGCAGGATTGAGAAGGTGCACGGCCGAAGAAGACTCCAGGCCGCAGCAAGGCAGCATTGAAGGAGTGCGCCCTTGGTGGGGGCTCCATGCCACACACACCCGCAGCCAAGCTCACCGGGAGGAAGTGTGGCTTGGCATGTGGGGGTTGGCATTAGCTGCCAGGGCGAAAGCGCACGGTCTAAATGGAGCGGACGATGGAATCGTACTGGGGTAGGGGTCCCAAACAGTACCGCTTATGGATTCCGAGTTGTTCCACAAACTGTGCTCGCACAGGGGAAATAACACTTGGCGCGTATGAAAGCAACTGGATGCCGCACGTCATGAAATCCTGGGTGTCAAAAGTCCTGCCGATGGGGTCCAGCCGTCGGGTTGCGCTTGGCGTGACGCAAAATGTTGGGCGTCAACCGTAAGGCCCAGCCCGTGCGCTGCGTACAACGCGCCCAGTAATGCTGGGTGCTGCAATGTCCCCACTATGGGGAACTGCCAATGATGTGCGGATGAGGTGCCGCAAAAGATGTGATGCCATTAGGCTCGCTCAGGGGGCCCCGCCCATGGGTTGCGGATGTCGTGAGGTCTCGCCCAAGGGGTACTGCCCGAGGGTTGCGTGAGAAGTACGGCACAACGCTGGGTGCCGTAGGGGCGCGTCCATGGGTCCCGCCCATGGGTTGCGCATGACGTCCAGAGGACGAGCGGAGTGCGGGTGAGGCGGCCAAGCCAAGCTGGCCTAGCGGCCAGCGCGGGAGCGGCGCGGGTCCAGCCCGTCGGGATCGATAGCAGGGCACACGCGAGGGGGCACGAGACTCTTCCGAGGGCAAACCGCGCCCCAGACAGGAAGGGGGCATGGGGCGAGATGGGTATCAAACAAAGGCACCCTTGACTTTGCAGGGTATCTACTAATCGGACTGGACTCTGCGCTTGTTGAGCGCAGAGAGACTACGAGGCCCAGAGAAATTTCCCTCAACAGGGGAGCACAAGCGCCCGGGGATACCCCCAGGCTATGCCGAACGGTTGGCGCACATCGCCCGGGGGGCCCGACCCAAACGCAAGGTACCCGAGCGGAGCCTGCGACTACTTCAGACAAAACTCGCCGAATAACAAGCCTAACGTCTGCTCAATCGAACAGCATAAGTCAGCGGATGAGGGAGGAAGGAGAACAGAGAAGGAAGGAGGGACGAGAGAATCTTCACATCAACGGCCAAGGACCCCAGTGACTGAGCTAAGGATTGTAATGACGACTGAATGCATCCAAATCCCATGAGTAAAAGCCGCGGACAAGGCCTGGAAGACCGCCAAACGTTGCCAGGCCGTCAACACTTGCAAGGCGAGGCAAGAGCAGTGGACGGGCCTACCATAGCATGTTACGAAGGGACCTCCTGAGAGGCCAGCAGTGCAGCCCAACCCAGGGGCAGGCGAGAGAGACCTCGCCCTGTGAAGCACCCCTGGGAACGGCCAGACAGGCCATCGCTTGGCTGGATGGGAAAGGGAGAGACTGTGAGTAGGTAGAATGAGGAGACGAAGGAAGGACCAGGGAGACGAAGGAAGGAGGGGACGAAGGGGAAGGGGGCGAACGAAGGAGGGGACGAAGGGGCAGAGGAGCGGGAGCAGCAGTCGAGAGGAGCGGCGGGAGCAGCGCTCCCGAGCTCGATCAGCAGGAGCAGCAGCTGGGGCGCACAAAGACACACCGGTACTGTATGTCCTCCTCACAAGCGCGCGTCCGACCCGAACATGTAGCATCACCGTCTTGTAGTATATCGTTTCTCGAGCGGCACAGCCAGAAAGCGCCCGCCAGGCAGCATGTGCTAGAAGGTCGCTCGGCGCGCGCGTCGCACCTGGAGGTGCGGCGCACACAGCAGCAGCAAGAGCAGGAGCAGGAGCAGCAGGAAGCGCAGTGGATCAGGGCCGTCTCCTCCGCAGCGGCCCAAGCTGGCGGCCACAGAAGAAAAACAGCACGAGCACAAGCTTTCGACGGTTGGGGCTGATCTCTTGGACCGGCGCTGGGCCCTCCTGAAGGTGCACATTTCTTCAGAGTTATTTCTTTGGACCCCGTGGAGCAACCGCGAAATCCACGCCACGAGAGCGCTCGACAGATGCACACGAGCTGTCAACGCCCGCAGCCTGCGAACTCCGCACGCGCGCAGGCACCCCGGCGGGGCTGTGGCTGCCTGTTGCCGGCGAAGTCGTACAGTCCGCCCCACGGCCCCGACATCCTGTCCTGCGGGGGGCGAGGTGCAGCTCGCGGGGCTCGACCAGGGCCGCGGGCACGCGGGAAAGGGTGAAGGGGCCCTGGGACACACAGAAAAATAGACGCAAATAACAGGATTCCCCATGTTGTCTGGGGAATCGGCGATTAACTGTGTCTGTGTGTTTTTTCTCCCCTCAAAGGGGGCCGAGAGGATCGGGCCGAACGAAAGGACGGGTAGTGGGAGGGGGGTTTGGCGAACCAGCTCGCGCAGCTGGCTTTCACGGCGCCCTTCTGGCGCAGGGAGGCGCCAGTACGTCGAGGCGAGGCGCCCACGGCGGGGCCGGCACCAGCTGCGCGCAGCAGATTTCGTGCGTCCCCCTTTCCCTGTCCCCCGTTTCTCTGGAAGTAGGAAAGGAGTATGGGTGTAAAGGGGTATGATGCGAATCTGATGTAAAGGCGAATATGGCGATGTTATTTGTCGCAGACAGCATCGCCATTTCCACGATTGGCACCATACCCCTTTCTGCCACACCCCTTTCCGACCTCCAAAGCTTCGTCTGACCCGAGAGAAGAAGGACGAGACCGGCGAGGAGCGGTGGGGACCCAGACGTCTGGTGGCTCGGAAGCGTCGGGCCGCAGAGCGTGTGGTGGTGTGCCGAAATGGCCGGCCGGGGTTACCGCAAACGACACCCTGCCACTGAGGCCTTCGGTGGAGCTCGCTGCCGGGCCACGAAAGGCGCGAGGGGCATGCCGAAATGGGCAGCAGGACCACATGCAATAACCTGCCGCTGAAAACTTCAGAAGAGCTCCCAGTGGGGCCACGAAACGTGTGAGGGATGTGCCGAAACGGGCGTGAGCACGCATGGGGACCCTGGCACGGGGGCCTTTGGTAGAGCTCCTCATGGGGACACGGAACGTGTGAGGGGTGTGCCGCAGCACAGACATGCGGACGGCAGAGCACGCGGAGGGACAAGCGAAGGGCAGAGACAGGAGGAGAGGGATGAGGATGAGGGGGAGGCGGGGGGAGGTGTGGATGCGTAGCGCTGCGGATTCAGAACCAAACCCTAACACCGCAGGATGGGCCGGAGTATTCCTGGGGCAAGGGGCGAGGGGTGCGGGGGCCCACGTTTCGGAGATCGAGCCCTCGGATGTACAGGGAGGAGCACGAGGAATGGCGAAAGCCCGGGAAGGCGAGGAAATGTCACCAAGGATGAAAGTTGGGCAGTTTCACAATGTGGCTTTCGCCTGGGCGCTGCACAGATTCGTCTCAAAAGCTCTCAGTAGCTTTACGGATGGTCGGCGAGTGGTTTCCTGAAGGTCGCTCTCGCCTGCGCCGAAAAGCAGTCTCAAAGGCTTCCAACTTCCAACTGGTAAAGTGACAGCAATCAAGTCATGTTCCAAATGATGTTGCTTGCGATATCTCTGATCATGATGCCCAGATGATTGGAATTATGCGAGAATAACACAAGTTGAGAGCGACTCCTTTTCAAAATGGGGTCATCGCTTCAGTTTGCCTAATCTTCACGACCAGCACGTAAACGTGTCAACCGCAAGATGCAAGTAGGGCCGTTTTCGTTTCAACATGGGGTTATTCCTCGATACTGAACTTCAATCCCAGTGCGACCCTACCTAGGAGTTGGAGCCCCTAGGAAAGCAGCATTAGTAGTAACAGTAAAGCTAAGTTAAAGCTAAGCTAAAGCTAAGCTAAAGCTAAGCTAAAGCTAAGCTAAAGCTAAGCTAAAGCTAAGCTTAAGCTAAGCTAAAGCTAAGCTGAAGCTAAGCTAAAGCTAAGTTAAAGCTAAGCTAAGGCTAACTAAGCTAAGCTAAAGCTAAAAGCTAAGCTAAAGCTAAGCTAAGCTAAGCTAAAGCTAAGCTAAGCTAAGCTGCTAAGCTAAAGCTAAGCTAAAGCTAAAGCTAAAGCTAAGCTAAGCTAAAGCTAAGCTAAGCTAAAGCTAAGCTAAAGCTAAAGCTAAGCTAAGCTAAGCTAAGCTAAAGCTGAGCTGAAGCTAAGCGAAAGCTAAGCTAAAGCTAAGCTAAGGCTAAGCTAAAGCTAAGCTAAAGAAGCTAAGCTAAGCTAAAGCTAAGCTAAAGCTAAGCTAAAGCTAAAAGCTAAGCTAAAGCTAAGCTAAAGCTAAGCTAAAGCTAAGCTAAAGCTAAGCTAAAGCTAAGCTAAAAGCTAAGCTAAGCTAAAGCTAAGCTAAAGCTAAGCTAAAGCTAAGCTAAAGCTAAGCTAAAGCTAAGCTAAAGCTAAGCTAAAGCTAAGCTAAAGCTAAGCTAAAGCTAAGCTAACTAAGCTAAAGCTAAGCTGAAGCTAAGCTAAGCTAAAGCTAAGCTAAAGCTAAGCTAAAGCTAAGCTAACACTAAGCTAAAGCTAAGCTAAAGCTAAGCTAAAGCTAAAGCTAAAAGCTAAAGCTAAGCTAAAGCTAAAGCTAAGGCTAAAGCTCCCAGGGGACTGGGGGAACCGCGGGGCGGGGACTGGGGGAACCGCCCGGGGCGGTGAGCATTGCCCGGCCCTTTAAGCAAAGAGAGTAAGAACCCTTCTAGGCAGAGCCTAGGTAGGGAATAACTTGTTCGTAAACACGCGCAACAGCTGCATGGATGGAGGTTTGTTCGTTTGGGCACTCCTGTGAATTTGATGCGTCTACCCGGTTGCAGTCTCTGTATGTCCAAAAAGATGGAGGCGGTTCCGTTCAAACGACGGGGCTCTCCTGAATAGCGGAGCCATGGGGCGCTCGTCTCAGAAGGGACCTCCCTAACTGAAAACGAACCCTTCTCGCGACTTGTACGCGGTAGGGGAACGTGGGGCTGGAGAATGGTTCGCGGCAGAACTGCTGTATCATAGCTCTACTATGGTTCCTCATTCCCACCTTCAGTCACCCCCCCACGTAGCTGTTCTGGCTCAATCCATTTTTGCTCGAGCTAGTTCGCGCTCAAGCGGGTCCTCCTTGAAGCCTCGCCGGGCGCGGGGCCGCGGTCGATGTGCGCGTGCTGTTGCCGGTGGTGCACGCCGGAGCCGCTGAAGCTGCTGGAGGAGGCGGGGGCCGTCATCGGGTGGCCGCTGCCCTCGTGGAAGCCACGCGGGCGGGGCCGACAGTCGCTGAAGGAGGTCCCCGAGATCAAGGCGGAGGTGGCTGCGCGCCAGAGGCTCGCAACACCGCACTGCACACCAGGATGGGCGAGAGCAGCGCTGGGCTGCGGGGCCTGGAGGCAGAGACAGAGGCTGACAAGCAGAGAGGCAGGCGCCGCCGCTGCAGGGCCAAGGAATCCGCCAGGGACTCCCGCGGCGAGTGCGGCGGCTCAGGCGTGCCCCACGGCGTCGGAGGGGCGAAGTGCGAGCCCAACGCGGGCCCGCCACGTGGCGAACAGAGGCAGCAGGTGCAGGCATCCTGCACCGATCTTCACGAGGCGAGGTTGAAGGCCGATGCCATCAGCCAAGAAGGGACAGCAGTGGCAGCAGCATGGGCCAGAGCCAGCCTCGCTCGGCGAAGCGGGAGAAGCGAAGCGGCAGCCCGCCATTATCAGCAGCAGGGCATCTGAGCCCAGCGCGAATGGTGAGCAGTGGTAGCAGGCTCTGGCATCACCGAGGGACGAGCACAAGACGAAGTCTGAGCACGGCGAGGAGTGCATGCGCGAAGGAACCGCGATAGCAGCAGCAGAGCCGTACACGTGCATGACTCGTCAAAGTGGTAGGAGCAAAGTGGGAGCCCAACGTAATAACCAGCACCATGACGGAAGCTTCAACGATGACGGAAGCTTCAAACGAGGCCCCAGCTTGCGAGAGCGCTCCAGACAGAGTGAGTGAGGCGAAGTTGGAGCCCAATGCCAGCAGGAGCACAACGCAGTGCGATGCGTGCCAGAAGGGTGAGCAGAGGCAGTAATAGGCGCAAGCATCGCTCGGACGCTAGAAAAGCGAAGCTGGAGCCCTGCGTCACCAGCCACACAACGATGAACAAATCCCCATGGGTAGACTCCGACAGTGACGACGACTAGTTCGGCAAGGCCAAATCGGAGTTCCGCCAAAGCTAGGGGCGAAGTACTCGATCAGCCTTGGGGACACGGTGCTGCCTTCTTTTCCACGTCACCGAGCTCCTGGGCACAGTCGACGAGCCCAGGCTTTGGTCAGCTCCAGCCCTGGCTGGCCCCTTTGACTCCCCGTTTTCGCGCGCAGCTCATCGTCTGATACAATCCGTCGGAAACACTCTACTCCTCCTCCTCCTCCCTCTCCTCCTCCTCCTCCTCCTCCTCCTCCTCCTCCTCCTCCTCCTCCTTCTCCTCCTCCGCCTCCTCCTCCTCCTCCTCGTCCTGATCCTCTTCCTCCTCATCATGCTCCTCCTCCTCCTCCTCCTCCTCCTCCTCCTCGTCCTCCTTCTCCTCCTCCTCCTCCTCCCTCCTCCTCCTCCTCCTCCTCCTCCTCCTCCTCCTCCTCCTCCTCCTCCTCCTCCTCCTCCTCTCCTCCTCCTCCCTCCTCTCCTCCTCCTCCTCCTCCTCCTCCTCCTCCTCCTCCTCCCTCCTCCTCCTCCTCCTCCCTCCTCATCCTCCTCCTCCTCATCCTCCTCATCGTCCTCCCGCTCATCCTCCTATTCCTCCTCCTTATCCTCCTCCATTTCCTCCAGTTCCTCCTCCCCTCCTCCTCTCCATTCCCTCCTCCTCCTCCAACTTCTCCTTTTCCTCCTCCTCCTCCTCCTCTTCCTCCTCCTCCTCATCCTCCTCCTTCTCCGCCTCGTCCTCCTCATCATTCTCCTCCTCCTCCTCGTCCTCCTCCTCCTTATCCTCCTCCTCCTCCTCCTCCTTCTCCTCCGCGTCCTCCTCATCGTCCTCCTCCTCCTTTTCCTCCTTATCCTCATCCTCCCTCTCATCATCCTCCTCCTCATCATCCTCCTCCCTCTCATCCTCTTCTTCCTCCTCCTCCTCATCCTCCTCCTGCTCCTCCTCCTCCTCCTCCTCTTCCTCGTTCTCCTCCTCTTGCTTGTCGTAGTCGTCTGATTCGCCGTATTGTTATTATGATTGGTATTATTATCCGTACTCGTAAT